CTCTCTCTCTCTCTCTCTCTCTCTCTCTCTCTCTCTCTCCCTCGATAGACGTCTGCCGTTCTCATACACGCGATTATCCACGGCGCGCACGACACCTTAGTCATTACAAATCAATCGTCTTTTTACCCATTCGGTCACGTCATTACCGCAGGTTGAGTAGAAACATGTAGGCGTGTATCTCTGTAGCCGGTGCAGTATAGGGGTGCGATGCCTAAATGATAAATAATACTGCAGTAATGTGTTGGTGGCTTGTGAACCAATTTGAAATTACAAGGATTAAATGACTCGAACATTTTCTATATCGCAGTAGTAAAATGGCACTGACATAATTAGAAGCAGAATTGTAACCACACGGCACATGGTATCGGCACTACTAACATTTTACATTGAAAGCCGAGTATTTTGCATCTCTCTCTCTTTCTATTGCAAGATAGGAACTTTATTAAGGGGATGAGTGTTCTAATTACGTAAAGCTCCTAATGCCGTTAAGCTATATATAACTGCACGACGAAACTCTGAGAATAATTAGTAGAGTAATCTTTTGAATTGTCGCGAATCCCTCGTCGTGGAGAGAATTAGTAATTGTGTAATGTAGTCAACTAAACATGGTGTAGTGACGCTTTACTTTCCACCTACACACTACACCCTAAACAAAGGTTTCATTTGAATACCTCGTAATGTGCGCGTGGTTGGAAAATATCTGTAGAGGCCACGTACACATCCACAGTAAATGAAACAAATGTACAGTGGGTCTGTACGGTTAATAATATATTTTCAATAAACATTCCCATAATCAAAATCAAGATTTTTTTTACATGCGTTACTGTTTTCCATGAAAGACATAAATTGTCTTTAATTAAATCAAAACCAAAAACATAGTTGTTTAGCTATTACTGGAAATCTATGCATTTATTTATCAATGCAGGTACAACATGGGGATTTTAATGATAAATTAGAGATTTAGTGAATGCTAACCAATCACTGACTAACAACTAGGAATGTCCAGTTTCCAACAATGGCTTTAGGTATATTAAATATTGACTAAACCATGAAGTGATCATTAACAACATAACAATCGTGCTTAGCTCTACTTAAAATTAACTTTAAAGAAAGCTACAATAGCAAAGGTGAAACCAGCTTCACACAACCGACAAGTCGGGGTGTGGCAGCAATACTATTGCTGATTGCCTTGCAGGGTGACACTCACGGTTTTTAGTATTATTATGTTACATTCAAACTGATACATGAACTTATTTTCCAACAATCACCAGCATCTGAGTGAACAATGAACACAACTGACCCTCCGCGGAGGCAGTTGCTATCCATCGCGCATTTCCGCATAAATTGGGATAATCATCGAAATTGGTTCTCATGCGAATCTTCTAACAACAGTGAACCGTAGAGGCGCGCACAGGTCTTCTCCACATCGTCTGACGACGACGTCTACGTGCGCGACCCACCAGGTGTCACTAGTGTAGCCTGATTGATGTCTCGTTATCCAGGCAACTGCTGCACAGTCTTTACGCTGGCACACGCGTTACACCACCTCAGCACACGCGTTACACCACACTAGCACACGCGTTACACCACACTAGCACACGCGTTACACCACCTCAGCACACACGTTACACGTCACTCGTGTGGCTCACGTCACGCAAGCACACGCGATGATGACGACGATGATGGATGAAACTTTGACTGCTTGGCCATTCTCTTAGTTGGACTTTCCCTCCTTGCCTTCCTTGCCTTCCTTGCCCTCCTCCGGCTCCTCCTGCTGCTTGCTCTCTGTGTCCGTACTTCCTCCACTCTGACCCTCTCTCTCCGCAGCCATCTGAAAGAATGAATCAAGCAATCAAAATCCTTGTCATAACAAATTTGTGTCCAGAAAACAATTACTGAACGTTTTCCACAATATATTGCTCAATTTCATTTGATTGTCATGAGTCAGGTCACTCTTTCAAACATAACCATAAACTTTACAATTTGGTTCCCGCACAGATTACAAATTTTTATAACACATCGTATGTGAAAACAGTGACGTGAAATATATTGGGCCATAGAAAATTTGCCGACAATATATTATATGCGCAGCAAATAGCCTACAGCTCAGTACCTAAGCAATATTGATTTTTGTACCACTATATTTTTGTACTTGTAAGCAGTAGTACAGTACAGTGTGTAACCACTAAACGCAACACAGGCAGCGCAACAACCGTCACGATAGTATGAAAACATAATAACCCCATAATAGAACATACTGTCGCTAATAGATAATAGTAAAATGAGGAGAAATATTTACAAACTATTATGCTGCATGACCTAACAATACACATAATTTATATTAGATCATATTAGATCTTTGCACATCCGAGAATGAACACAGTAAGCAACTGCTCCACAAACAGCGATCATCACAGCTCACCTTTTTGTATGCTATCTCGAACAGTTTGAGTGAAGCCTTCTGGAGCTCGTTGGAGGATTCTCGGATGCTCTCCACCGTCTCCTGGTCTTTGTTCGCAATGCGCGCCTTCAGTTTCCCAAGCTCCTCAGTTAGCTTCGTGCACTGCAAGATATGTCAGCGGTGACGAAATATTGAGGTTTACTACAAGATACAAGTGTTCTTGCTTCAAATCGATGCACGTATAGATTTAGTATAGCTGGCAGCTTGAACCTTTACACCAATAGATAGATGTAAAAGCTTGATTTTGCAGCATTTGTTTTGGCTATCAAACGAGACACCTTAACACAACGATATGCAAGTGTAATTTCAATGGATGATAGCCACAGAATGTAATGCTAGTAGCAAATAATCGTGTAAAAGTGTGTCAGCTCCAACAACTCTGGCAGAGTGGTATACAGTTTCTCTGCAGTAGTAACACCGTAAGGTTTGCAATGCTGATCGTAAAGCTTTCATTACTAGTAGGCAACTTTGCCTCTTATAAGCGGAACTTTTATCGTAACTTTAACTGCTCTTCAACCTTTATTAGATAACGATCATTTTGACAAAGTTTAAAGACTGTTACTTGAAATGGAGAAAATTAATTTTTTTATCGTGTAACGTGCTGAAATAATAAGTGTAACTTTTTTTTACAAAGCCAGTATTGGAGCAGCCAACTTTCCTTTACAGCTCTACAACACTATGTCTAACACAACACACTAGTCTGAGCTCACCCCAGCACCCACGCCCTTTATCCCCCAGCCTTCTCTGAGCATACCTCATCCGCAGGCAGCTGGTCCTTGTACTCTTCCATCTTGGACTCTGTGTCATGCATCATGCCCTCAGCGTGGTTGACTACCTCCACCATATCTTTCTTCTTCAAGTCCTCAGCCGCGTACTTTTCTGCATTCTTCACCATGTTTTCAATGTCATCTTTGCTCAGACCTCCCGATGACTGGATCACAACTGACAAGCAGCAAAACACCGTATTCAGCTATAAATCCATGAGGAATCCATGCAATGAACAAGTTAAGGTTGTAGAAATATATGACAGTGATCGAAATCAACGCGAGTCCGGAGTGAAACGTTATGTAAATTACTGTCCGACGCCCTCACACCGTAAGTGACGCCAGTAGGAGTCAAGAGATGCCTTGAAAGTTTATGCTCTACATAATCACATACATATCTAATTATTTAGATATAATGCAGGCTCAATTAACAGAAATTTTATCATGAAATAATAGACTAAGACAGCCACAGCTTCAGCTAGCATAAACGGCCCGCGACGTGCAAAGATCATATTTCTATAAGGAATTTATCATAGTTACATACTCTGTTGTTCCTTGCCCGTGCCTCTGTCCCTGGCCGATACATTTACTATTCCGTTCGCATCAATGTCAAAGGTCACCTCGACCTGTGGCACACCTCTGGGTGCTGGTGGGATGCCAACCTTCAAACAGAAACATCCGTAAAATACCGACCACCAATTAATCCTTGCTAATGTATACGGTAAGGAATGCTCCTTACACTGCCGTACCTATTAATACAACATTAGCATGTACAATGGGTTGCCACAATAAACAGTACAATTTTGAAGAACGTGCACTTTGGTCAATATGGGATCAAAATACACAACATGTCGCACAACATTACTAAACGACATTTTCCACTACTCGATATTTATTGCCGCCAGCAGATAGCGCACTCTGTTGAGTACGTACCAGCTGGAATTGCCCCAAAACCTTGTTGTCAGTGGCCATCTCACGTTCTCCCTGAAAGACTTTGATCTCCACCTGAGTTTGGCCATCAGCAGCTGTTGAGAAGACCTGCATGGGATGCAACAAATATTTTATTACCAATCATATCATTTCTCAACCAACAATAACCTTTCCTGCACATAAATAATCAAGATTTACAGCAATCATTGAATTTTGACAAAGGAACGTTTCTAATGATCCCAGGGTTCTCCCTACGTTGCGCAAACGGGGCGCCCGCGCCCCGTTTGGGAAACTCCCCCCTGTTTCAATCGTTGCGCCCCGTTTGAATTACCTCGCCGCCGATTACAAATTCCACCACTAATAAAAGTTTGACAGCGGCGGGAATCGATCGTCAGATTCCATTCGAACGCAGGACGACAGACGCATGTATTTTACGTACCACGGCATGTCACTGCAGCCCATAACACGACGTACAAACAGTTAAACCTGTAACGAAGCCAACAATAACTAACACCGACCGGCTATCTTTATATATACAAAACTCGCAAATACCGTCTATGGTGTGTGGCGATTTTAACGCATTAATTAGTGGACGGTAAAACAAACAACGCCCCCGCGCCCCTAGTTTCGCCCCGCCTTCCCCCCTCGCCCCCTCCCCCTGTTCCCTCCCTCGGCTCCCCTGTTTCAATTTCATCCTGGGCGAGAACCCTGGATCCCCTTTTTTGTTATTTCAACTAAATGCAATTCTTGAGTCTTTCATTCCATATAGTGCACTGTTTAACTTCCTGCTGGTGATTAATCACAGGTTGATGTTTGTGTTTGTGGTCTGCTATGGAATCAGTTGAGTGTGCACACGGCTAGACCTCACCTGGCTCTTCTTGGTTGGAATAGTTGTGTTTCTGTTGATCAGCTTCGTGAAGACTCCGCCGAGGGTTTCGATGCCGAGCGAGAGCGGCGTCACGTCCAGCAGTAGCACGTCCGTCACGTCTCCAGCCAACACTCCTCCCTACATCACGCACACAATCAACCGCATTAACACACATATTACAACTTCATGCAACCTGAAGGAACAATAAACGATGTTGAAATGACACCCATCGTAGTAGTTTTACTGAAAACGATGAAAATACGGTGAAACGAGATGAACAGGCCAGTAAGTTTAGCCAAACGTTTAATTGTGGGACTTTTGCTAATGACAACAGATATATCACGCTGTATTCTAACATAAATGCACAAGTCCACAGTTGATATTCCCAAAGCTTTGGCCCTGAATACTGAGGTAGCAGCAAACAGGAATTTGACATACTTTGGAATAAACCAAAAATCACGTTTATGGAGACAGGTCTAGCTTTTCTGAACGAAGTTTAATGGATTCCCATTGCCATAGTTTTATTGATTCCCTGGCCTCAAAAAGACCACACTCAGAAATTATTATGTTGTAAGCACACTAAACTGCACCACTCCCACCACTGCACCCTTCCTCCACGCACCACTCCTCACCCCCCTGCACACTGCCCTCACGCACAGCCCTGCACACTCCCTCACCCCATGCACACACTTCCCTCACCACCCTGCACACCGCTCAGCCCCCCTGCACCACTCCTGCCCCCGCTGCACCACTCCCTCCCCCCGCACACTCCTCCCCCCGGCACCACTCCCTCACTCCCCCTGCACCACTCCTCACTCCTGCAGCCTTGCGACTATACATGCAACCACAGCAGTGTCAGGGCAGGGAGGTGCAGGAGAGCAGGGAGGGTAGGGGGGGGGCCCTACCTACCACTCACCTGAATCGCAGCTCCAGCCGCTACCGCTTCATCCGGATTCACAGACTTGCTGGGCGTTCGTCAAACAGTTCTTTCACTATCTGCTGCACCCTGTTACCGTAGCAACAATAACAACAGCTATTTCATTCACTCGTAGGGAGGTAGTACTCTGTCAGATGGCAGGGTGCGCAAATTAACGAGAGTCCGGAGTCCAAATCCTCCTGATTTTGCTGTCGCCGATTCCCTGATTTGACATATGCAGGATTCCGTGTGGACTCCCTGAAAATTCTGCCATACTAACTAGTTCGTTCTGGAGCACGGCCTCGCGAAATTACTTACTTTTTCAGCTAATGTCCAAAGAAAATTTGGCAGACGTGCAACTGCATGAATCTTAAAAATAAGCACATGCGTTATTGGTTAATATCTTTAATTTTGAACCTCAGGCTGCGGACTTTTTGGTTTATTGCGATGGTTATCCAACCATGATTTTGGTTATCCAATCATTTTGATTTATCGCGCGCCTGCCGGACAAGTTTAACAATAGTTATTTGACATACTAAATTACACTAGTTAAGATTCTTCTTCGTTAAGGCCAATACAAAATATAGGTGTGGTTCGGTTTCCATGCCGGAAAAAATAGGGCAGGTAGGTAGAGAAAACATTTTATTTACGAACCATGTCCCGAAGGATGTGCGTTGTGCCTTTTGAAGCAGGAACTGTCAATTCATTTTTTTATTTTTTATTTTTATTTTATTTTTTACTGTTAAGAAAATTGACAATAAAATGTTTAGGGTCGCTGGGAATAAATAGGGTCGGTGCGGAAACGGTAACCAGCACCATATATTTGGTGTTGGCCTAAGATGCAAAATTTTGTTCACTATATAAAAATGTGATTAATACAAGAGCCGCAGAGCGTCTGGCTCATCTGAGGTCTGTTGCTACGATTATAAAAACGTAAAATTTCCAGTCGTGCGTAGTACGCACATTTGTTAGGCGCAGATATGCGACACGCAGTTGCGTACACATCATTGTTAGGACACGCCCACTATCGCAGATGAGGTAGGGGGAGGGTGGGGGGGAGGGTGGGGGAAGGGGGGGAGGGGTGGGGGAGGGGGAAGGGGCTCTAATAGCAAAAGCAGTTCACTCCTTTGTTAACAGTCAACAAATCCATGTTTAACCTCCTCTTGAGGGTCAAAAGGTTATCCGACACTTACTCCTTCGCATGTCAGCAGAAGGGACATTATCATGGTCGCTTTCAATAAAGCCATAAAAATGCTAGTCACCGCTGAAACAAAAAAGTTTTTCAAAATCGCTCCGTCAGACGCATGTCCTCACGAAAAATGCAAAATTGCCCTGTGCCCTTGACGCTTTAGCTTTGACATGTGGACTCCAATTTTCGGCACAGTGATGGCTTCGCTACGCATGATGCTATATCACGCGACTATCACGAGGCCTAGGTCGAGGCCGTTAGATTTGTGGCCGGCAATTCTGCATTTCCTGCCGCTATACCTTAAGTTAAGGAGCTGATGTTCCCCCTTATTTTACACCTTTGACCTTGACCTTTGACCCCCAGCTTCGACATCCGCAACTCGTTTTCGATACGCGCCCCCACGTCCGAATATCGTGAGCCGTACGTCGAGCGGGTTAAATTTGTGCCCAACTGTTGACGAGGCGCACGCGGACGGACGGACGCGACGGACGGACGGACGGAACGGACGATCATGTCGATCTAACAAGCTGCATCTTGACTATGTCAGATGAGCTAAAAAAATCCACTAGGCAATAATAATTGGAAACAATTTTACAGCCGTCATCTAAAGAAGCAAGGATCAGCAGGTACTGTTCACTGCGCATAATTGATTCCCTTGTTGACGTCGAGCGTTGATTACAAATGTGAAAGGCCTGAGAGTTGGAGTACAGCAACAGTCAGGATCAGATATATTTGGCTACCGACTTGTCATATTACGAAACATATGCCTTTAGCTATGGGCCATAAAGATGTCTTGTTTTCTTCACATCAACCTTATGATTACTCGAGTCCTGTACATATGTCTAACGTTCCCATAATGCCTATCAGTAGCATGAATGTATATTAAATACCAGATATAAAAATACTAAAATGTAGACACAGAGTGGCAGCAATACTATTCCTACACTAAGCCTCTAAATCGTGAACTTTACAACGTACACATTGTCTCCTGACTTGTCCATCTCGCATATGGCGGGGGAGCGGCTGCGTTGGTTCATTGCCTCGCCTCTTTTTGGGGCTAGGGAGTCCATTGGACTTCCTTGTTCAAAAGTTAATTTCTACCCCTGAGATGGCATATTTGATCTTACATGATCACACTAAAGGAACGTTCACAGCGTGTGCACACCATCCCTAAACACACGTTGACCTGGGCGTGTATCACAGCGTGCTAAGTAGTCGCGTACTACACCCCTCCTAGCATTGCTGTGAGGTGTAGAGTTAACCTGAGCATTGCCAGCCTAACTTGACCTTGTAATGACCCGATAGAGTCGATTTGTAACTGTGAACACGGATTTATCGCGCGCCTGGCCAGGACAAGTTTGATATAGGAGAAAATTTTGCAGTCTGTACGGGATAAAATAATATACCAGTTTATTATTAAAGCACTCCCACCTGTGCTTTAATAATGACACATTATATAATCTCCCTTACAGCTTTTTGAATGACAAACGACAAACCTTTGCAGACCTACGAGACATTTCTACACTAATTACACTAGTTAAGAGGCATCTTCCACATACACATTCTGAATGTCAGCATGAATTATGCAATGTCTCATAACTCAATCTCAATCTGTTCAATCAAGTCCTTCACACAATCAATCGAAACCCACTGTAATTTTGAGATGAAATTCCCACTTAAACAAATATTCTACACAGACGACGGATTACCTTTGGCATTCGGGACATGCCACCGACTAGGAGCACCTCTCCTATGTCTGCCTTCGACACCCCCGCGTCCTGCAGGGCCTTCTGGCATGGAGCTATCGTTCGCTTCACCAGGTCTTCGACGATGCTCTCAAACTTTGCCCTCGATAGCTTCATATTCATGTGCTTTGGTCCGCTGGCATCCATCGTCAAATATGGGAGATTGATATCAGTCTGTAGATATAATAAAAAACATGTATAATAAATACATACATCTGAAAGATAGGGTAAACCAGAATTGACGATACTGCTTTGGAATTATTTAACGAATGAGCGTGTAAGTTACGACTAACTACCTGTAGTGCTGATGACAGTTCACACTTGGCCTTTTCTGCAGCTTCCCTCAGTCTCTGTAGTGCCATCGTGTCCTTTTTGAGATCTATTCCTTGCTGCGATAAAAAAAACCAGCCATTATAATGTGGTTAAAGGAGAAACTTGCTAAAATAGTAAAAACATAAAACTAAATTTTACTAACTATTTAACTGTAATATTTCCCCATTATTAAATAATAAAAAAATCGTTCAGAGATTTGGAAAAACAAAAAGGTGGGACGATGTCGAAAGCAGTTAGCCAACACCACGTCGGACTAGTAGGGTAAGACAGAAATGTTCAAGACACTACATGCAGGCACTTTTAAAATATAAACTTGCCTCTTTCTTGAACTCGCCCACGAGATAGGTGAGCAAAGCCAGATCGAAATCTTCACCTCCCAGGAACGTATCACCGTTTGTCGATTTCACCTCGAACACACCCTTCTGAATCTCCAAGACGGATATATCAAACGTTCCACCGCCAAGATCATATACAGCAATCCTAGAATGAAAACAACCACTCACTGTTACCTCTCTTCTTACATAGATGGTGTAAACATCTTGTGTGTTGGCGACTACCTAACATACACGTGCAACAAACTAATCTATCTAAACTGTTGTTCTTATTTCAAAAATTTTGTTTGCTTATTAAAAATGTGATTAATAAAAATCCACTAGCAATTGGAAACAAATTTGTACAGTCGTCATCTGAAAAGCAAGGAATCACAGGTACTGTTCACTGGCATAATGATTCCCTTGTTGACGTCGGACGTTGATCTACCAAATGTGAAAGCCTGAAGTTGGCAGTACAGCAACAGTGCAGGATCAGATATATTTGGCTACCATTGTGTCATGCATATTACGATAACCATGCCTTTAGTACGGCCCGTAAAGATGTTCTTGGTTTCGTTCACATCAAACCCCCAAAACCTCCGCAGACCCATTATGATTACTCGAGTCCTGTACATATGTCTAACGCTCCCATAATGCCTATCAGTAGCATGAATGTATATTTTAAATACCAGATCATAAATACCAGATATAAAAAATACTAAAATGTAGACACAGTAGGCAGCATACTATTCCTACACTAAGCTCTAAATCGTGAACTTTACAAGCGTACACTTTGTCTTCTGACTTGTCCATTCCATATGCGAGAGCGGCTGCGGTTGGTTCATTGATAACTCGGAGCACGTTGAGACCAGAAATCTGTCCGGCATCTTTAGTTGCCTGTCGCTGTGAGTCGTTGAAGTAAGCTGGCACGGTGATCACTGCATTCTTTACTGTCGTACCCAAGTAGCTCTCTGTAAAACGGCAGCGTTTTTGCAGATCAAAGCACATGTGCATGTGTTGTGATACACCCACGTTCACACATAAAATACACAGCTCGTTAATTACACAGCTCGTTAATTACACAGCTCGTTAATTACACAGATTTATTAGTTTTCTTTGCTATAATAAAGAATGCACTCAGATGTGTGTACCTGCAGTTTCTTTCATCTTCATCAGGACAAAGGCACCTATTTGGCTGGGTGAGTACATCTTGCCCTGTGCTTCTAACCAGGCATCCCCATTTGATGCTTTTACAATCTTATATGGAACATTTTGTCTATAAAATACATAACAATAATAACAATATAAGTAGCTGACTGATGACAATAGCAACATTATTATTGTCTACTTACTGTTTATATATAACTTAAATGAAAGAATTATAGGGATTCTCAATTACAACTGACGTGATAAAACTTTCTTGATTAGTGCCTGGTTATACATAAGAATTTCTTCTTGGTGTACATATAAAGTTAACTAAAACTGTAGGTTTTGTGTTTTGTTTGTCTATTGGAGCACATACTAGAGTGAACCCATCTCATAAGTCTTGCATCACAAATAAAATTAGAAATGTTTTCATTCTGGCCAATCAATTTATACACGAGTTTAGGTCTGAACAGGAAAAATTTGTGTTTGGCTGGATCCAAGTTCTGGTGAAGTCTTATCTGTTACCACATTTAATTGCCACAAAGTATATGTAAGTTTGTTCACATCATATTAATCACCATTCCTTTATAGTTAATATAGAATTATATATATAAGAGATATATAATGTAGTTTATAATTATTATACAATTACCACCACGAATAATTTGATAAATTTTACATTATTATGTACATACATGTCCTTTTGTACTTCAGCGTCTGTGAATCGCCTCCCAATCAAACGTTTTGTCGCAGAAAGTGTTGCAGCTGGATTCGTAACTGATTGACGTTTCGCTGGCATTCCAACCAATCTTTCTCCTTCCTGTGTGAAGGCAACAACAGACGGCGTTGTCCGTGCACCCTCTGCATTCTCTAATACTTTAGCCACTTTGCCTTCCATTACAGCCACACATGAGTTGGTGGTACCCAAGTCTATGCCTATTACAGCTCCTTTCACTTCTGACCTGCAAAGTGTAATTTAATTGTATATATGCAAATATTATACAAATGTTAGACCAACTTTCACTCTTCTCTAATCAAATTGAACTGTTGAAATAGTGTACACCTTACAAACAAAATGTCATGAATTTTAATTAAGATTTGTGATATATTAAAACACCTATTTTATCATTTATTTTCCTCGATAGTTGTTACTAAATTATTAATAATTTATCAAATTATGCCATGAGAATGTTGATATTGAATGTGATATTTTCTCAGCGGTTTCATTTCAGGAATTAGAACCTAAATTATACCACGTGCTTTAAGATTTCAATTAAAGCATATTTACGAATAAATATGAAAAATGACTGAATACTTACGCAAAAAACCGTTGGCATTTGACACCAAAAATGTCGTAGGAAAGGCCACCCCATGGTTGCTGACATGAAAAGTAAAAGAGTAAATTTATAATGCTACTAGTATTTAGGAAAACATTTTCTTTTAGACAATATCAGTCCGATCGAGTCACGTACTTACCATAGGTACATGCCTATCAGAAGTAGATAATAGGGAAGGAGTGTGACTTCAATAAACAAGGGATATTCGTCATTTACTAGCCTTAGAATACCTACGATTTACTACGCGTAACTCAACCAACTTGAGCTCAAATCGTACACAGTACATTCGCCTAGCATCGTGCGAAATCGTTTCCTCATATACACCCGCAATCCGGAGATACAGACTAAAACGTACGACACGATTCTCCATTCTGTTGCCAGCAAACGGAATGTATAACCCACCTAACTTAAAACAAAAGGCAGCTACTAACGACTCTTGTGCCCTCGGCGATGCGGTGTGGCTCGCAGGGAGATTGGACATCGATGCAACACTCGGCGAGCTAATCTTTGACCTATTTACAGCTGGTATGCCCCCCACGCACGCGCGCCCACCACAATCAGCAGCAGCTCCAGCTCCAATCTCCCAGCGAGCCACACCGCATCGCCGAGGGCACAAGAGTGCGCAAGAGTTGTGAGTAGCTGCCTTTTGTTTCAAGTTAGGCGAGTTATACATTCCGTTTGCTGGCAACAGAATGGAGAATCGTGTCGTACGTTTTAGTCTGTATCTCCGAATTGCGGGTGTATACGAGGAAACGATTTCGCACGATGCTAGGCGAATGTACTGTGTACGATTTTCCCCCCTGCACCACTCCCTCACCCCCTGCACCACTCCCTCACCCCCCTGCACCACTCCCTCACTCCCTGCACCTTGGCGACTATACAGCAACCACACAGTGTCAGGGGAGGGAGGTGCAGGAGGCAGGGAGGGTAGGGGGGGGCCCTACCTACCACTCACCTGAATCGCAGCTCCGACCGCTACCGCTTCATCCGGATTCACAGACTTGCTGGGCGTTCGTCCAAACAGTTCTTTCACTATCTGCTGCACCTGTTACCGTAGCAACAATAACAACAGCTATTTCATTCACTCGTAGGGAGGTAGTACTCTGTACAGATGGCAGGGTGCAAAATTAACGAGAGTCCGGAGTCAAATCCTCCCTGATTTGCTGTCGGATTCCCTGATTTGACATATGCAGGATTCCGTGTGACTCCCTGAAAATTCTGCCATACTAACTAGTTCGTTCTGGAGCACGGCCTCGCGAAATTACTGTACTTTTTCAGCTAATGTCCAAAGAAAATTTGGCAGACGTGCAACTGCATGAATCTTAAAAATAAGCACATGCGTTATTGTTAATATCTTTAATTTTGAACCTCAGGCTGCGGACTTTTTGGTTTATTGCGATGGTTATCCAACCATGATTTGGTTATCCAATCATTTTGATTTATCGCGCGCCTGGCCAGGACAAGTTTAACATAGTTATTTGACATACTAATTACACTAGTTAAGATTCATCTTCGTTAAGGCCAAAACAAAATATAGGTGTGGTTACCGTTTCATGCCGGAAAAAAATAGGGCAGGTAGGTAGAGAAAACATTTTATTTACGAACCATGTCCGAAGGATGTGCGTTGTGCCTTTTGAAGCAGGAACTGTCCAATTCATTTTTTTATTTTTTTATTTTTATTTTATTTTTTACTTTAAAGAAAATTGACAATAAAATGTTTAGGGTCGCTGGGAATAAATAGGGTCGGTTGGGAAACGGTAACCACACCTATATTTGGTGTTGGCCTAAGATGCAAAATTGTGTTCACTTATTAAAAATGTGATTAATAAAAATCCACTAGCAATAATATTGGAAACTAATTTGTACAGCCGTCATCTAAGAAGCAAAGAATCACAGGTACTGTTCACTGGCATAATGATTCCCTTGTTGACGTCGGACGTTGATCTACCAAATGTGAAAGCCTGAGAGTTGGAGTACAGCAACAGTCAGGATCAGATATATTTGGCTACCGATTTGTCATGATATTACAAAACATGCTTTTAGCTATGGGCCGTAAAGATGTCTTGTTTTCTTCACATCAACCTTATGATTACTCGAGTCCTGT